GAAGCCAGCACATTTGAAACCTCATTTAGACTCCAAACATAATACGACGGCCCGGTCGTCGTATGGCCTCTGCGTGCAGAAACACATACGACTACCGGCGTGTCGTATGGCAGTTAACGTGTACGATGCTACATTTTGACTAAAAATGGTGCAAATAGGTTTTAATTTTAATTGTTTTTAATTTTTAATTCAAAGGAGATTTTCAAAATATAGTACTAATTCCATTGAGATGGCTAGAATTCAATTTATTGACTCTCTCTTTATCTCTGAATCAATATTTATAACAAATAGGGGATCGCCTGCATATCAACAACGAATAATATTCAAAAGTGAAATTTGGATTAGAACAGCGAGTGGAACCTAACTTAACCCTCCAACGGCTAGATTTTTTTTTCTTCAAATTTTCAAGTATCTAAAATTTTTTCTGCACAATTATATGTTAATTAAGTGTAATATGCACGTTTTAATTTTTTACGTCATTCAGATTAGTGATAAGAGGGTGTGACCGTATGGTCACACTAGCTTAAAGTCAGTTATATATGCGTTTTAAATTTATTTTCAGTTTACAAGAATACAAATACATTATAATTGAAAAAAAAAACTTATGGTGTGTGAAAAATTGCAAAACAATCGATACATAGGCCTACGTCACATTTTTGACATTGCGTGCGTCCTACGGAGCTACATCCTTCACCTGCACATCTTCGTCGTTTTTTCTCGGGGACCGCCACAATCAAATGATCTAGACGATCATACCTGACATCGTCCGAAATACGGTTTAGTGTAACACTAGTTTTACTAGTAGACGGCCTTCCAGTTCTTTTTGGGGCATTTTTATACCGCAGCAAATACGTTTTGGCAATCTCTCTACGAAAATTTAGATTTGTAATTTGCCTCCCTGTGAGTTTATAAGTGGTCCAAGCGTTCTGGATGGCAGCATCAAATAACCAAGTAACAAGTGGCCAATACCACTTTTTTCCTCTAATGCTAATGCGATTTCTAGCCAAGTCTTCATCCATCCTGTCGGTACCCCCCATATATTTATTGTACATTCCCACGAGATGCGGACGAGGTACTGCTATTATCCTTTTCTCTGATTTTGAATATCGTTTTACTTGTGCAATAGGCTGTATTCCGTATGATGTAGAACACATAGAAACAACGCCATTATCCACCCATCGAACCATCAATGATACCCTCCTCCTTCGATATTTTTCCTTCGTATTCTCCTCTTTTCTTTTTTGACATAGAGTTTTTATTTGTAAGTGGACAGTCCGATGGAACACGATTTTCTCTTATCGTTCCAGTGGTTCCATAACCCCGTTCTCCCAAATGAGTCAATAATTTAAAACTTGTAAATAAATTATCAACATAAATTTGATAAGGCAACTGCTTCTGCGGTAAACCATCTAACATTATCACAAGAGGTGCCGTTGCTTTTCCAAATTCTTGATCATAGTATTCATTAGAGTTTGGGCTTGCACCTTGGTAAATGTCAAAATTTATTAGATAGCCATTTTCGGAATTTAAACACCATACTTTGTAGCCAAAACGTATCGGCTTTCCACGGATAAACTGCTTACAACTATGACGACCGTAATATTTCACCATAGACTCATCATAGTTCATATGTTGAGTAGGCTTATAATATTTTAAAAAATTTCTTTGAAGTCTATCTATAAGTGGACGTAACTTCCACAATTTGTCATTGGGATTCATTTGGGTATTGTCTGCAAGGTGGAGAAATCTCATAATTTGACGAAACCTATCACGTCTACAAGCATTTTTGATCATCTGGTTACCCATGTCATCTCCGCTGTCCCAATAGAAGTCCTTTCCTGGTAGGATGTTGTATCCTGTGGCAATTAGAATTCCAATAAAGCATTTTAACTCACTCATAGATATTTTCGGGTCTGGTAAGTTCAAAAACAATGCATATTTTTTGGATTCTTCTAGAATAAGCAGTAGAATACTTAGCATTAATTCAAAAAGATCCACAGGCGACTTATCTTGAAATGCACTGTAATCGGGAATAGGAAAATCTTTTTGCATGGTAATGTTACCATCAATCCAAGTTGTTTTGGTGCGACCTTTAGATTTTCTTTTTTTTGGAGGTGATTTTGTTTTCTCCAGTCTAGTAAGGACTTCTGTTGGATGACTATCGATCTCGCTATCATCGTGACATTTCTTCCTAATTTTAGATTTTCGTTTCTTTGGAGTTGGATTTTTTTTCTCGGGTATTTCAGGTTCTTGTGTTCGCTGATTGCCGATCTCGTTATCATCTTTACCGTTCCATCTAATTTCAGCTACGGCTGATAACTGCCTCCTTGACAAATTATCTATAAGTCCGCCATCATCTTCGTTAGCTGAATCTTCATCGGTTTCGACTGCTGCATCCGGAGGTGAAATGAATATTAGAGGATCACTATCGTTGTTAGTGTCCTCAAACACCATATCAAGGGCCTCTTGTAGGCTAAACCCGTGTCTATAAAAGAATATCAATTGAAGCATATATCACGCTAGTGTTACCATATGGTAACAGACATCTTCTTGTTCAAAAATCATATTGAAAATTTTATTCAGTCTATGCCAAGTAAATACTAATCAAAATAGTAGATATTTGGCAATGTAAATGCCACAACAATAAAAGCTTATCATAAAAAGTAAACACGTTATTATACTTACTCAAATCTGATGTCCATGATTTCGATCAACAAAAACTTCAGTCGAGAAAAATACACACAAATATCTACAATTAACTTCAACTGAGGTTATATTGTTTACTAACGTTATATACAGGTTTCTGTGGTCAAAATATTACAACTGTAATGTAGGTATCTGCAATTATAACAGAAACCTACCTCATTTTATGTAAGTACGTTTGCGTGACCATACGGTAACACCAGCCGCTGGAGGGTTAATTTCTTCCCATTTAGAAGTATTAATTAACTATAAAATAGATGATGTTAAAGAGTTCGCAGAGTATAAACTTTTAATTATACACCAAACGTTAATGTAATTCTTCTTTCGTTTATTTCGCTAAATAGGCGCAAAAGCAGATATCGTGGAGTTTATTTATAGAAGGCGCGATTGCCAAATTTCGGATGTAGTTAGGGGCTATGAGTAGAATCGTACATTTTTGCAATTATACGCTGGATGTCATTCAGTCGCAGTTATGAAATTGCGTTTGTATATTCAATATACACACCAAAGCTCCTGCGCGCGCTCTTCACAGCAAAGCGCGGAACTAAAATATACTCATTAATTTTACAACCATATCTTTTCGACATCTTCCTGAAATTGCTTCCCCCTCACCCTTAGGGGCTCTAGAGTGAAATAACACGGGAAAACGTTTCGACATCCGAAACATACGTTTGGATATATATATATATATATATATATATATATATATACGCAATAAGTAGTCACTTCCGTTACACAAACTGGGCGACCTGACTTCCACCAAAAGAAATACACCTAGATTTTTTTTCAGTCTATTAATAAGTTTAGGGGGATGTGCTTTATCAAGTTTTCTAAAGAGGGGAAGCGATTTCGCTTGTTTATTTTTAATATATATAATATATAACTGCAGTCATATTCTCTACCAATTCACTTCCGGTAAATGTGTAATATCTCTCTCGTTGTCACTTCCGGCGATGTTGCCACTACCTTTACTACTAACATTTGGGTAAATGCATTAACGTTTTACTCTATATTTTATAGTGAGTGTCATAATTAATTATTTTGGTGTCAACGAACATATCGCAAGGTAAGTGTAGGTACATGGGTTCAAGATGTACTGAGTCGATTATTGTATGAGATACTAATGTGAAGTGCATTTTCTAAGTTGCACATAATGATAAATTAAAAAAACGTTTCACCAAAATTTTTTTCACGTTTATAGGACTGTGTTCTACTGATTGGCCCACATTTCGTTATCATAACTGCAGTAGTGCTGTAGTCTATGTTTTGCAATGATTATGGTAAATTTGATATATCGCCATCCCCTAATCCAAACGGCTTTTGCATTGTAGAATTTTGTATGATATTATTATTTCTGCTTGGCTTTGTATTTATTAAGTTTTGTCCTATAATTGGATTTTTTTTCTGTTTGGGCATATATATTATTAATTGTTCTTTTTATTTATTATATTTTTCTCCATTTATGGCACTGTTCAGGCGTGCGGCAACAGCGACGGTCATTGGCACACCATGGGGGTAAGTTCTATATTTCATAATTTATAGGCATGTGTTTAGATTTTGTTTATGTTGTTTATAGTTTTTATATACTTAAGGACGTTTTTTTAGGTTAGAGTCGGATAGTGTAGTCGCTACATCACCTTTTATGCGCTTCATTCTGCGGTATTGTTCTAGCGTAGGGCATGATTCCAATATATGGGCATTGTTAGTGTATGATTATTATTATCATTACCATTGTCATTATCATGATCATCATCATGATGATTATCATACCATTATCATTGTCATTATTATCGTCATCGTCATGATCATTATCATCATTATCGTCATCATCATTATCATCATCCTCATCGTGATCGTAGTCGTGGAACATGATCATTATCATTATATTTTAATTTTGTCATATTTTTCTCCGTTAATAGCCCTGTTCCGGCGTGTGTTGACAGCGACTGTCATTGGAACACCGTGGAGTGGAGGTAAGTTCTACATTTGTTCTTTTTATTTTATTTAAAAGGTTTTATTTTTAAGTGACCACAGCTGCTTTACGAACTCAACTTAACTTAAACTTCAGACCTAGAAGGACCAATAAAAGCTATAGCATATCCTGTTTAACACATCAAGGTTTCATACTATGATGCACGTGGGTAAGTCAAATTATGCCATTCGTTTTGCAGCTACCTATGTGTTGAAGATCTAGGTGCGTATCTACCAAATGTATATCAATCTACTTACTACCGCATAAGGTCTGTCGACTGTAGGTGCACAACATTAATTGTACTTAACTAGTAATAAAACAAACATTGTGGAAGAATAAAATAAAAATGTATTCTATTACGTAAAATAAAGGTAACATTTCTTGTAGTTTATAGTCCTTTTTTAGTTTTAATCAAATGTTGTAGCTTTGATTTGGTTACAATGACGCTTCTGTTTATTCCATTTCTTTCAAGAAATTCCTTTATGTCGTTCCCTGCTGGATAGGTACCTTTATTAATGTAGACACTGAACTCTTTTTTTAATAAATGAAGTTCCCGATTAGACCAATCTGGAAATTTAAATGTAGTAGTTAGCAAATTATGCTAATACTTACAGGTTCTCTGTCCACTTCTCTTTGGAACTTCAGCTACACTATCAGCGTCAATTAAATCTGAAAGCGATACCTATGTATATTTGGTTTCTTACTTCATAATCGAAAGTACCTGATGGTCTGTCCTGTACTATCCGAGATGTTTTTGGTGACGCATGGATCGGTAAATCTGAAAAAAAAATGTGTTTGGCTTAGTTTAATAGATATTTATGTATCAAGTACGCAAAATACCGTTTGAGCGAACAAATCGGTATTAAAGACGAGGCGACAGAGGAGCCGAGTCTATAATGAGATAAGTGCGCTAAAACGTTTTGCGTACGTGGTACATACAAAATTTTTTGGTAAAAGCTCTAAAAAAATAGTCTAAACTCTACCTATATGTTCTATCTGAAGTTATCACACTTTAAGTAGGCCGTTAAAGATTTATTTTGCGGACTCAAATGGATACGGAAAGTAACAATTTTGGAGAGCGTGTACCAAAAATTTATTTAGGTACCTACCTGATGGTATTTGCGGTACTGTCCGAGACCTTTCATTAGCTGCAACAGTTATATCTGAAAACGATATCAATTACATTTAAATTTCAATAAATGCTATAGTTGGCAATGGTACCTGATGATAATTCCTCTTGGGGAGAGGAACCTAAAAGTATTAAATGTATAGATAAGTATTGTTTTAAATTAAGGGCCAGTTGTATAACGTCTGGTTGAACTTCCGGTTGAAATCAACCTGCGGTTGAACGTCAGTGATTGGATAAAATGTCAGCCATGATGAAAATAAGGCCCATGATTGACGTTCAACCGCAGGTTGATTTCCACCGGAGGTTCAAACTGACATTATACAACCGGCCATAAGAGAAATCCATTCCGCTACTACTGAAATAAAAATAACCGATCCAAAAAGCCGAAATATCCATCTATCAATACATTTATTCGCCAAATAAATTCCTTAGTTACGATTGTGCTAATGATGGCTTTATTGGTAGAATAGGTTATAGGTGATGGATATCTCGGCTCTTTAAAGAAATAGCATTTCTACTTACAGGGACTTCGATTTTCTCGATCATTCACATCTGAAAGTTCATAATATAGGTAAGTAAATGAAGGTTGTGGAAACAAAAAATAATACCATTAAATCCTGTATTTACAATCTCAATAGATCTTTCGTTTGCATAAAATCCTGGAGGCTCCTCACTTCTTTTATTTATTGTGCCTATAAATATTTTAATGTTTCACAGTAACTGAAATCTACCTAAATTTACCGTCAATTTTGTCTTCCTCCGCATATTCTAGGTTAAAATCTATATTAATCTCTTCCAACGACTTTCCTTTATATTCGATTGGCATAGATCCTTTCTCCATCATCATCAACAATTTTGACACCTTTGCAGTTTGGTAAATGTCAACCGGTAATCTAATACATTTAAAAAAGGTAAGTAGATGATATCTGATGTTTCAGTCGTTGCTTGTTACTTACTCATAAAACTCATCGTGAGTCTTTTGAGTATGCCCCATGAAATTTGCAAACTGTTTTGCCTCTTCTGGTTTTAAACTTAAAATTTGGGTTACAGTGGCAATCTGTTTCCGCAGGTTGTTACTTGAAATAGCTTTAGGGTTTTCAATTTGAATTTTTTTGCACAATGCCCGAATTGCCACATCACCTTTTCCCCATTTAATCGTACTGTCGGGCATGGCAAACACATAGTCATTGTTAGAGTCTAATATGTACTTGTTTCTCTCCGCTAATAAAACATTAATCATGTTTTGCAGTTCTTCAGGTATAAGTATGACAACAGCCCTCGAACCTTTACCGCTGTTGAGTACTCTCTTGTATTTTTGGGTCAATGATCTTTCCACATCCGTAAGTACATGGTCGAAATCTGTGTAGTTGCTCTTTTTATCTGATTTGTAGTCGCTGATCTTAAGATATTGAACGTCACCTATTCGGCGACGATTAAACAAAATTAGTAACGATAAGACACATTGTATTAATAATTTAAATGCGCGTTTATTCTCTTTTAAAAGTAGCTGGGATACGGAGTCATTTGCCAACTTAGTCACTTCGTCTCTAAACTTTTTCACGTCGCTCACCAATGGTAGTAATAGCGGCTTTTTCCAACGCTTTTCTTGAAGATCTTTATTAGCTAAAGACGAAATTTCTATGGTCCATCGCGATTCAACCAGTTTCTTAAAATTCTTAATATTCGTAAGCCAAACCTGGGCATCTTCCGCCGATTTACATCTGAAACCTTTACTTTGTTTTAATACCAGGTGTGTAAGTTCATCGCATGCTAATTTTAATGAGGTTCCTAGATGCATAGCCAAACTTGGAGTTTGAAATGACTTCTTTTCGTGGTCAAAACCACTAATCTTCCGAACTGCCATTAATACAGTATCGAAGTGTTTAGGATGCAATATATCTTTAAAATTAGCTTTATTATTATTGGTTATCATGCGAAAATTTAATAATATCCTTGAAAGTTCACGCATTCTATTACTGCATGAATAGGCCATTCTTTCACGCCTATGTTTTTTTAAATAAGACTCGCCAAAATTGGCTATTAAAAGATCCTTCTTCGCTTCAAAAGCAATGTCATCTGGTTTCATTATGTCAAACACCTAAAAAATCCTTGCTGTAGTCCAAATTCTAAGCTCTAGGAATTTCTTTTCAAGCCATAAATTGATAAATCTTAATATACATGTACAGGGTGTCTCTAAAAGGTCTGTACAAAGCGCTAGCATGGGTTCTTGGTATCAAAATAGGTCAATTTAACCCAACTTACCTCTATCCTTCGGTTAGGCGCTATCGACCGTCAAAGATCTTAAAAAAATCGTATTTTTTATGGTTTTACGGATTAAAGTAAAGTTCGGGATGTGAATGTCTCATGTAAAAAGGGTCTTTATAATATCATTTTTTTAAATTGTAGCTGCTATGTAGATGGTAAAATACTGGCCATCCACATCTAAAGAGGTGTAAAACTTTTTAACGGTCATATTAACAGTTCTGAACTTTTACCCACAGTAAGACAGTTTAGTTTCAAGCATTTTTTGTCTCTTGATGAATTTCATTATCTGTGATGGTTTACGAAAAAAAAAAACTAAAATGATGCACGACATTTACAATAAGTATGAATGTTGCAATAGAAAATATCTGTGCAAGTTGGAAATAGAGGTAGGCTATGAACAATCGCATTGGTAGTGATCCCATTGCCATACATCATACCCCAGATCATACCTAAACTTTTTTTTTTTTTGGTAAACCATCACAGATAATGAAATTCATCAAGAGACAAAAAATGCTTGAAAATAAACTGTCTTCCTGTGGGTAAAAATTCAGAACGGTTAGTTAAAAAGTTTTTTTATTTTACCATACCACCTACACAGCGGCTACAATTAAAAAAATGATATCATAAAGACCTTTTTACATTCACATCCCGAATTTTATTTTAATCCGTAAAATCATCTTCCGATAAAATAAAAAGTACGATTTTTTTTAAAGATCTTTGGCGGTCGATGGCGCCTTACCGAAGCACTTTTGGATAGACGTGAGTTGGGTCAAATCGGCCTATTTTTATAAAGAACCTATGGTAGCGTGTTGTACAGACCTTTTAGAGGCACCCTGTATAGTCTTCGCATACGAGCATTATATGAGCAAACTTATTTTTTATACGTAGATTGTAGATACATTGGCATCTTGTAATGCTTCTCCAAGATTCAAAGAATAATTTTACATATGAAGTTCTCAATTTTTTAGTTTCGATTTTAATAGGGATTTGGTTGAAATATATGGAACTAAAATATATTTCAACCAAATCCCTATCAAATGATAATACCAAAATCTGAAGTTCCTACGTAAAATTTGGTTTCTATGCATCAGAGTTTTGCCTATTCCCCGACCAAGTTGGTAAATAAGTAAATGATGGTTTTTCTTAAATCATCCAAAATTTGTATTTCAAAATTCTTTCTTGCTGCATTTGTGAGAATTTTATACCTAGAAAATTGAATGTTGTTGAGATTTCTAAGAGACACACGCGAAAGGACGGATAAAATACTCGCACCACTGTTTCTTAATCTATGAAAAATATGGTAATAAAACTTCAAGGAAGAGTTCAGTAGAAGGGTAGAATCTATCAGATTTCAAACTCGGAATTTTGCGCTCTTCCGATTTTAGGTGACTAGTTCACACATTTCTTTAGTAAAATGGGCATTAACGATATGACACATTGTACATCTCTTAGATAGCTCAGCAACATTTAATTTTCTAGGTGTAACATCCTCACAAATGTCGTTCGCATATATTATTGTTTTATTTTGCAGTGACTAGTAACTTATGGCTTCAAGAGAAATGTTACATTTTCAAGGTAATTTACCTGCTCTTTGACATTTAACTTGGAGAGAACGTTTGTAGGGTCCATAGCGCATGCAGTCACTGTTTGTGATAAAGACAAAATTTTGCTTTGATTCTTTTCGGAATCTTTTAAAAAACACGACTTTACATGGCGTTTTAAGTATTGTCTTGCAAATATTCCCTTGCAGTACGCGCAAGGGTAGTACTTAATTTTAATTTTCGGTTCCTTTACCAATTTTCTATTAGGGCGAACATTTCCATTTATAAATAATTCAAAATTAGTATCGTTACGTAAAATTGCAAAAGCACGGCGTCTTTCTTTGCTGTTTTTTGGCAATTGAAATATGGTGTGGACTTCTTGTTCACTACCATGATTTCTTTTAACATGCCGCATAAAGTTCAACGTGTTAATGTCTTCCTGGCAAAACTTGCAATGTACCACCTTCTTCTGGTTTTTCTTTAGCCGCTATTGAGAACATACTAGGTAAATTTATTCAACACACTACCTACCCGTTGATGCATACCTTCAGTACATTTGATAACGGTTCACGAACATTGTCTTCAATCTGAGGTCTAGCATCTGCACTTACGTGTGGTGATGGATGCTCATTTTGACGTTTGTCGATCATTAAAGTATCATTGATAAGATTAGTATCACCAGTATAAGGTAGATTGTTTAAAATTGATATGCCACTGTTAGTATGTTTCTACAAATAATCCTAAGTAATAAATATCTAACAATTCAACATCTAAAAGATTAGGTATACCGTGAAAATGGATACGTCCTGGTGTATAATTATACTACTACGACGTATATTTGCTAGTTTACCATGTGAATAATTTTCGTTACCCTCCTCGATAACGCTTTTAGTGAGATCATACGATACCTCCGAATTAGTAGATGTTGTATCGTCACTGTTCGGTATAAAATCGCGATCTAGATAAGAATCATCGACCGACGGCTCTGACCCTGATATGTGGCTGCAATTACAAGCGATTAAACCACAGGGTTTTGATACTGGCTGAACATTCTCAAACTTTTCCTTAAAATCGGTTAACTTGTTATGGTGCCCATCATCAAAGTTGCTTTGATTTATCCAATCCTGTGGAAAAATAGCGCATGTACTGATGGTATGGAGGGGTACCCATGCAAATACTAAATTTCAAGCGCCTACGACCTTTCGTTCAAGAGTTATTGTGCATACGGATAGACGGACGGACGTAGGCACGATTTTATGAATGTCCTATCTGGTCCTTACATAGCTAACATATATTGGTCAAAATCAATATATTCATGGCCAAAAATTAACTTGGGTCTCGATACGATCATTGTGACTCTTTTTGAACGAAATTGGCGCATTAATTGGCTAAATCCATGTGATCACAGGAAATTCATACAATCGATACAATGATTTACAAATTTATCGAGGAACAGCATTTTTCGGTTTCCATAAAGAAACTGACGGATAAATGCGCATTGTGATTAAATTTAAAGTGATTAGTCAGAGAAACGAAATCTTCACTCCGCATTTTAGGAGTGAAAATAGTACCTTGCCTCTGATTTCAGGAAAACTATGTTAAAATTGTTTCATAGATAGAAAAATAATAAGATCTTACGATAGTTTTTGCAGTACTGCTGCATACATCCAGTGGTGGCTCCAAAGGCGGAGTAGAACTTTGGATGTTCAAAACATCCGAAGATGTGGGTACATCACAATTATCTTCTGGTGGCTCCAAAGGCGGAGTAGAACATTGGATGTTCAAACCATCCGAAGATGTGGGTACATCACCATTACCCTCTATATAGAAGAATAAAAAATAAACACATAATTAAATGGCAAAACACGTCATGCTGTTTGTTGCTAAAAATTTCCTTTGAAATAAGAGTCAGAATGATAAACCGTTATGAATTTAATAATACAATATCAGCAATTCTCAGTTAAATATAGAAATACATCCACTTACCCTTATTTAGTACAAGTTTAAGTAATTTTCTTCCTCTGGTTATCATGACAAAATAAAACTTTACCGACAAATTTAACGGACGTGTTTACGTTAACACCACGTATAGCAAAATGTATTTGGATTCACAGAAACATGGATGCCAAATTTCGGATGTGACATGGTACACTTTATATGACGGAAGTAACTACGTATAGCATATGAAAACCATATAAGCGATGGTGGCGATAGTGGCATATATGAGAACTAAGTCCAAACTTAACCGATAAGTTTAACACGTAGCCACTTCCAAGCTATTTTTCTTATATGGCATGCCAATGACCTCTATAAGCGAAATTAGCTAACAACAAGGAAAAACGTAGTCACTTCCGAAATTGGAAGTGACTACGTAAAAATGGAAGTGACAACGAATGTTGTGTATCTATTTTGGAAGTGACTTCGTATTGTGTATATGTATATATATATATATATATATATATATATATATACTATGCCATCATATTGCAACCAATTTTGTGGCGTGTACTATAAGATCAAAATTAACGGGTTTGAGAATTTTGAATAGGTCTGTCAGTTCTGAGTTGGATTTTCGTATCTCTATTACTAATCTCGCCAGCTCTCGCATCTTGCGAGAGACGACGTTGATAAAGTGAGCATCGCGATGGATTTTCAAGTATCTGGCCCCGAACTCACAAATAAGTTTGTCTTTTTTTGCGGTCATGGATACTTCATCAGGCCTCATTTTGGGGAACACAGTATTCATAAAATTAAAATCTACTTTTAGATGTTTCAGCATGATATTTTGAGCATCTACCTGTGAATGCTTTACGATGCCGCCATAACTGTTTCTTTGAATATAGACCCAAACATTCGGGGCATGGAATCACGGATTGTCCTATAACTCTTCTTCACTGCTTTTTGTACTTGATTAGAGTCCAAGTAATTTCCCTTTTTTCTCAGGTTAGTGAGTAACTGCTTCCTCGTTTTATTTTTTGGCGGATAGGATAAAATCTTTTGGACCTCGCTTTCCAAAGAGTGATTCCGAATAATGTGTCTGCCGAAACACTGTAGGTACTAAAGATTCACAGTAGAAGCAAAAGTTTTTTTGACGATTTCTCTTTCCATAAATGAAAAGGAAAAAGGCCAACGTGTTTCATTCCTCCGGCATCCCTGACTACAGGGATATCGGAGGCGGGCTGCTCAGGGCTTCCTGACCCTCTTCAGCCAGAGAACGGGATTGTAAGGATGGGTAAAGTTAGGGATGGGAACGGAAGGAACGGAGTTAGGGGAGGGGGAGAGTACTGCTCCAGCATTCGCCTCGTAGATTTCAACATAATGCTAGCATTATGCGAAGCTACGTATGTCTGAGGAAAACCCCCTGACAAAACCCCAGACAGAGCAGTCGGCAGCGGGATTCGAACCCACAACCTTCCGAATAGCATCTGTGAGCGCATCCACTGCGCCACGTGCCTAGGATAAAGAAGGTTCGCGTTCGATGTACTTTGTTCTGATTTCTCCTCGACGTTTGTACATGGCGGTATTTCTGAAGTGATTTGAATAGTATCTGCCACCGGTATTATTGGGGAGACTTCCAAAGTTTCTTCTTCAGACGTCTGAAAAATTAAATATTGTTGATGTTCAATTTGCGTTTGAGCTGTAGCAGTAAATTACCGAATCAGAATCGCTGCAAGGGACATATTCTGGGTCATCATCTTCATCACAATCAAATTCGGGAGGTGTTTCTATCGACCATTACATTGAACAGATTTTTTTAACTGTGTAAGGTATAATAATAATAATAATAAAGTTTATTCGTGTAGTATTATCTGAAGATATTTACACATGTCAATTGTCAAGTAGAGAACACAATAAAACTTAACACTTAAACTTAACAACAAAGTAATCTTCTATACAATATAGGGGATTGCAAAGCAACGTTTCCTTTACTTGTTTCTTAAACAAATGTGTCGGTAAATTTTTTATTTCAGTGGGTAGGGCATTAAAGAACTTTACGGACCAGAAGTTAGGCCCGTATTGTGAGGTGGCTAGCCTCACGAAGGGAGTGCGTAAGTTTTCGCTGTTTCTTGTGCTGTGTGAGTGGACATCTTTGCATGTATTGAAACAGTGTAAGTTTGCTTTCGCATAGCACAAGCAAGAATATACATAAAGCGAATAGAACGTCATTATTCTGAGTCGTTTGAATGCAGACTTGCAGTCAGTTCTGTAAAATAGTCTTGCTACAACGCGAATGACCTTTCTTTGCATGCCGAAAACCCTTTTTGCACTGGCGGCATGGCCCCAAATAGTGATGCAATATGCCATGTGTGACTGGCAAAGGGCAAAGTACGCTATCCTCAACACAGTGGAAGATACATAATTCGCCAAGTTTCGTAGGGCAAATATATTGCTGGACATCTTACTCGAAACTTGATCAACATGGTTGTTCCAGCGGAGTTGCGAGTCCATGTGCATGCCGAGAAATATGCTCCGCTCACTGTAATCATGAGGGGTAGCGAACGGCCTAAGTGCAAAAATGCATTTCTGAGTTTTTGTTTGGTACTAGTACAAATAGGCGAAAAATTTCCTAGTAGTGTCCCACAACGAACGCCGGCTTTTTATATTTCTATACTTTTGAAAGATGTAGCCTTACTTCAACAATACACATTTTCGACTCGTATTAAGCGCTTCTGTGGTTGATGGATGCACAAGAAGGATACGAAATCCACATTGACAATTGATTTATAGCATACACTACAGTGTCCTAGATCTTATGACCAATTTCATCATTTTCAAGGTTGAAATATTTTCAAATGTAACACCCTGTATATAATTTGTAGCGAATCGACGCATAATAATATTCTGCATTAATTCATAAAAAAATACAGGGTATCATATTTGGAAAAAAGCTTTCTCAGTCTTGGAAATGTCGAAATTGGTCATTATTAAATTTAGACCACCCCGTATGCTATTAATCGTCAATCTGGATTTCGCAAATATTCTTTTTGTGCTTCCATCTACCGCAGAAGCGCTTAACACCAAAATTGATCAAAAGGCGTATTGTTGAAAATAGGGCTAGCTCTTCAGAAATGATGCTATCTGAAAAACAGTTGACGATAGGTATCGGGAAACCTGATGAAACTCATCATAAAATTTCTTCAGAATTCCATAAATGAAATAAAATTTGTTCTATTTAAAATAAACAAGTTGGCATCAACTTCCGGTTCCGGTATAACCGTAAGTTTCACCAACTTACATATATTCCAGATGAATTTCACTTATCGACATCAGTAGGTACCTATTGTCAAATTTGCAAAACATCCGAGGTCTTCTTTTTGAGACACAGGTAGCCGACACGCTTCGTGGGACAGTGATCAAAATGTAAAGGTTCTGTATAGGTTTATGCAACTCTAACTCAATACAACTGACCAGACAATGCCGTTTTAAAGTCAAGTTTAATTCAACCTTAACGTTAAGCAAGACGATTGAACAATTTTTGAAATTCCAACCACTTGTACAAATGGTCCTTTATGAAGTCCTTAAATAAAATTCTACAGGGTGTTACTAAATTCGCGCCCACGGAAAATGGGGGCTTCATTCTGGGACAAATACTTTTCAAGATATGAGGTTGCAAAAAATGAGAAAAAAATGAAGAATTACATTTTCTTTTAATTAATCTCATAATAAAACAAAATTGTGGCACGAATATATCTAAACTATAATAGCTGTTCAAAATGTCCTCCATTTGCTGTTAAATATGCTTCCGCTCGTGTTTGGTCGTGGTCGGATGAGAAATGGGATTTTCAATTATCATAATGAACGTATCTGGGCCATATGGAATCCACGTGCAATAAGAATAAGGAATCATCGACGTAGACTTAGTTTAAATTCATTCGTGCCACAATTTCGTTTTATTATTAAATTATTAATTAAAGTAAAAAATAATTCTTCATTTCTTACTCATTTTTTGCAACCTCGTATCTTAAAAAGTATTTGTCTCAGAATTAAGTCCCCATAGTGAGTGGGCGTGAGTTTCGTAACACCCGGTATACTTGCATATACCTTGTAAAACGTACCATTTCATTAGATGAGGTAATATCTATATCTAATGTTTTTTCCTTTTCAGAAGTTGAAGAATCTATGGTGCCGTCCTGTAGTGGTTCGTGGAAGGTGTCGTCCTGTATCAGTGACAACGTTTCATTGATGCTACCGTCCTGTATCGGTGACAATGCTCTGCTGCAGAACCATCGCGTTGACCTCCGTAAACTATTGGACTGTAATAGATAATAAAATATCATACTTATTATTAAACAGTAGATGTAATATAATCGTATTTTTTTACCTGGTGCAAAAATTTTGGTCAGTAGGTCTTTTGACCGCTTTCGGAAATTATCATAAACCTCGAAATACGTTCTTAAACTTCACCATCAACCAGTAAAGCGCACCTACTGACCGTAATATTTAATACATTATTATGTATTATTTCAAAACTGACAATAACAAATATTTGAAAAATTAAGAATTTTGATTGCCTTGTGGCAGCGGAAGGCCTTCCAGGATAAGAAAAAATCGACCATTATTTTATTCCTATTGCACTAAATAATCTTTCCCTTCCTCAGGAAACTACCCCCTCCCCTACAAAAAAAAATTTATTTTCTGACATTGTGGCGGTGGAAGATGAAAGTTGAAAAAAAAAACAAAATGTGGTAGAAAGTTTCTTTCCACTAACCACACCTTTCGGTAATACAGGCGTTTTGAAAAAAGAAAAAAGTGAAATTGTGCTGGATATCGATCCACCCTAATGAATATGCATGTGAAAAATCTAAGTTTTCAACATTGAAAGACCTGAACGACACAGCACTTGAAAATATGTCATTTTTCTTACCATTTTTTGGTTTTTGTAAGTTTTACTCCTGAAGAACCGATTTTAATGCAATTATTGTCGCATACTTTTTTGAACTAGACAATATTTCTGACAATTTAAGCTCTTAACAATCTCCGCAAGTCTAATAGTTTCCGAGATACAGCGCTTCAACTATTGGTAAATATTAGTTTTAAAAGTGTTATCAAAATTTGCGTTTTTTCTTCGCAGAAAGTAAACTTACAAAATATGCACGAAGAATTGTCGTAAGTCGTGAGTCGTAATAAACTTGTTGTTGAAGAAGTGCTAAAAATTGCGGATAATGAAAGCAAATTAAATATGATTTTTGTCTTTTAGTGGAAAAATATCCATTTTTATATACAGGGTGATTCCTATAGTACCTGCCACCGTTTGGGAGCGTATAGGGGGTGCCTAGGGGAAGTCTTTTCATATAGGACACTTGGGGTCGGAAATCCAAAATAAGGGCGCCAGAACCAAATTTATCTTCTGGAATTTCACGCCTGTATGTAGGCAACCCAACCGACCGACGTTTCGCGCGGAGCGATGCAGAGCGAGTTAGCGCGAGGAAGCGACATGGGAGGGAAGGAGGGAAAACGACAGTCAAAAGCAATAACGTTTACAAGTGTTCAACGTGGCCACCGTTGTTCTCAATGCACTTCCTACATCTAGCCAACCACTCCCCTCGAACTCGCGTGAAGACTCCTATGTCCTGGCGAACAGCCTCTCCGGCCATGACGACGCGCGCAATTAAGTCCTCTTCGGATTCGACGGGAGTCTCGTAGACGTGCGCTTCCATCACACCCCACAAGTAAAAATCTAATGGGGTGATGTCGGGCGAGCGGGCAGGCCACTCCACCGCACCTCCACGGCCGATCCATCTGTCCGGATAGGTTTGGTCCAAGTGTTCCCTCACCTGCCGCCCGTAGTGAGCAGGGCACCCATCGTGCTGGAACCAGTGGTCCCAGTACAAGTTCACTGGAACATCCATTAAAAGTTCTGGTAGCACCTCGCGCAGGAAAATCAGGTAATTATGGGCATTTAGACGCGGAGGGAGGATGTAAGGCCCCAGTAGGTTGTCCCCCAGGATGCCAGCCCAAACGTTTAAAGAAAACTTGTCCTGGTATCCTCGCGTAAACGTTTCATGAGGATTGTGCTCCGCCCAGTAGTGGCTGTTACGAGGATTGAAGGTCCCCTCTCTTGAGAATCCTTTCTCGTCAGTAACTAGCACGCTCCTCAGAAAGTTCGGATTAGCTTCTTCCTCCTGGACGACTAAGTTGCAGAATTCCAGCCTCCTTTCATGGTCACCCGGCCGTAACTCTTGCACTTTCTTAAACTTATAGGGGTGTAAGTTGTTGTTGTTGGCGATGTTCCACACTGTGTGTTGACTACAACCCACCTGATCTGCTACAAGTCGAGTGCTAGTACGCGGGTTTGCCTCGAAACGTTCCAACACATCCTCCTCTAAGGCATTTACCAACGGGCGATCGCGATCACGGGCGCTAGTGGGCTGCGAAATAGGAGGAGGTCGGTGTAAACAAACAAACTTTTCGAAATGGGTGCTTAAATGACCCAAGTATCGATGTGCATCACGAATCTGTGTGTAAAGTTAAGCCTCCGTCAGCTTACCTGCAATTGCCCTGTCTCGCACAGTCGGAAGTGAACTTCTTGAAAGACCTGTCTGCAGGGTAACTGACGGTTTGGATACCGCTCAGCGTACGCTCGTCGTGCAGCTCGTGCGTTACCATTTGCCAATCCGTACATGAAGTGCATGTCCGCGTATTCCGTGTTAGTAAAACGTGCCATAGTGTTTATTCACTTGATACGCGTCGTTGCAGACGGGATTTCGTGGGTTTAAACAAAATTCTGATCAAGTGTCAGCCACACATCGCCGCCTGAGATCGCTCCGTGTGCACCGCCGGCCGGTTGGGTTGCCTACCTACAGGCGCGAAATTCCAGAAGGTAAATTTGGCTCTGGCACCCTTATTTTAGATTTCCGACCCCAAGTGTCCTATATCAAAATACTCCCCTACGCACCACCTACACGCTCCCAAACGGTGGCAGGTACTATAGGAATCACCCTGTATGATGCGTTATTCATTAAAACCATAGTGTTGTGAGTAAGCGTTCTGCTACTGTCACAGATCTATATTCGGTGTCCCTTTTGAATGGTCGAGCAAGGTCAGGCAAAAGGAAAAAATTCACAGATTTCGGAATCCATGCAACAGGTAGTGGCTCTTGCTGAAGAAGATGATAACTTTCTTATCATGGGAGATACTGGGGATCCAGAGGATATCAACATTCTAGCTCTTTCTGTGCGGATTTATGGGGACTCCTCACCACAAAGTCCCCCCAAACGAACAAAATGATAAAAATGTTCATGAGGTTTTTATGCGAAAAAAAGGCAAATTTGATTAAAACTGAAGAATTTACGAATTTTTGAAACGCTGTATCTCCAAAACTACTTACACTTACAGTGCCACCAAGCTCAGAAAAGCCCCGGAAAATATGCGAACTAATTTTGAAATAATTCAGGCTGGCCAATAGAAAGCCTGCGAAACGACGCGGTACATTCCGCGCCATAATTATTAATTATGCCGTTCTGACAGTTTGCGCTTCACGTTATTTGCTTCTTGTATTTGCTTTATTTTACGTTTTCCGTCTCCAGTTTATACAAACTCGTCTTTTTCAAGACGCATATAGCTTGGATCTACGATCTGATAAGGTATGTATTCCCTTAAAGTGTTTTTAAATGTAAAACTGTACCTAACCTTACATGAATCTTAGAGTGCTAATTGAGGTAAAACTTGTTCCAGAAGTCCTAAATCATGAGTTTGGAGAGGAAACTTGTTCACTCTGAAGCTCGTAATATAATCCGTAAAGTGGTCGAATTCTTTGATCGACAAAAAGATGCAGGTCGTTGGAGTTTTCCTTTAGAAAAGGCAACCGAGTTAGCTGCCGCTGCAGTTGGGAAGTCAGTTAGTTTTATAAAACAAATTCGCAAAGAATCGGATGAAGCTGGGCCCTCCAAGTTAAAATCTCCTAAGAAAAAACGTCACGTGGAGCCAACAAACAAGATCGATTTTGATGAAGCTGATCAGTGTATTTTACGAAGAACTGTCCAAGAAATGTATACAGTTGAACGTAAGGTACCAACTTTGAATGTGCTCGTAGAAAAAATGCAAGAGAAGATCAACTATACGGGTGGAAGGGAAACTCTTCGCAAGCAATTGTGGAAACTTGGTTTTCGGTACAAGAAGTGTCATGACAAACGTAGGTTGTTAATGGAAAGAAGTGACATCGTAGCATGGCGTTCTCGTTATTTAAGAAGATTAAGAGAAAATGAACAACGTGAAGGTGACAAGAGACCCGTTATATACTTGGACGAAACCTATATCCACCCATCGTATGGAGTGAGTAAATGCTGGCAATCAGATGAAGTATCGGGAGTTTATAAATCCAATAGGGCTGGTCAGAGGTACATCATAGTCCATGCTGGTGGTCATTCTGGATTTGTAGAGGATGGTTTGTTGATATTTAAGTCGCACAGTAAATCGGGGGATTATCACGATGATATGAATCATACTAACTTTATGCAGTGGTTAGAGAAGCAGCTGATACCAAATTTACCAGCAAACTCAATTGTGGTTATGGATAACGCACCCTACCATAGTGTTCAAATAAATAAGCCGCCAACAATGAATAATCGTAAGGAAGTGATACGATCTTGGTTAGACGCAAACAACATTAGTACGACAGAAGACATGCGGAAGGCCGAGTTGTTAATGTTAGTAAAGAACATTTCTCACAGCAAGACATATTATGTAGACGAACTACTCAAACAACATCAACACACCGTTGTACGATTGCCACCATATCACTGTGAGCTTAATCCAATCGAGCTAATTTGGAGTACTATGAAGAGGAAAGTAGCTATGAATAATGTCGGGCAAAGTAATAGTAATATTGTTCAATTGGTAAAAAATGCTTGTGCTGAAATTACGCAACAGGAATGGGAAAAGCATTGCATTCATGTGAAACATATTGCAGAACAAATGTGGGAAGCTGATTGTTTAACAGAGGAATTTATTGAGAGCGTAGAATTTGTTGTGAACACCGGGAGTTCTGATGAGGATGAGTTGTCAAGAGATGATAATGAATGATAAAAGTTAAAGGTTGTGTGTTAATTTAGTCAATGTAAGTGTTATTAATTTCAATATGATTGTTTCAATAACTGTCCATATTTACACACATGAAATGCATCAGAATTCAAAATTGGTTTGAAAATCTAACAATTTTAAATGTGTTTACGTTTTTGTAAATCCAAGTATAAATAAATGATTTTAATGTTTCCCCTTGATGTTATGCAACTCATATAGCGCGTGGCCTACTTATTTATATTTACGAAAGAATCAAATTTTGCATCAGAATGTACGGCCTAAATTTCTAGCGCCCTCGGACACGCCCTGTCAGGGACTTTCTGAGCTTGACTTGTACACTTACACTTGAAACGCTGTATCTCCAAAACTACTTACACTTACAGAGCCGGTTAAGGGCTTGAATTGTCACAAATTTTGTCTCGTTTAGACAAGTATACGACAGTAATTGCTTTAAAATCTGTCCTTCAGAACTAAAACTAACCAAAACCTAAAAATAATAGAAAAAAATGGCGTATTTTCGAGTCCTGCGTTGCTCGCACAGGTCTTTAGATGTCGAAAACTTGGATTTTTGACATCCATATTCATCCTAACAATTTAAAAGAAAAATTAGAGATGACATATCTGATGCAACGTATTATGATAATTTGACTGGACTACATGTCTTTGAACGTAGAACGCAATGTTTAAACACCCTTCCACGTTCGTACATGGTTCGTACAAACTTAGCGAACAAATACAGGCGCGGAATGATTAGTTTTGATTTACTTTTCGAAGCCAAAGGATGTCGAACAGAGGAAAGAAACCTGAATATGAGAAAATAGAAATAAACTACTGGATGAAACCGTGGTACTTGAAAAGGTACGAATTTCAATCATTTGTGACTATTGAAGGAAATAAATAACGGTTCTTCGAATTATGTCAATTATTATTGAATGGATTCAAATACATTCGAATACTTACTAAATTTGATAGAAAAGTCGATTAAAAAAGATTCGCTCACAAACTCTTGCGACAAATTTCGCGACATGTTGGGTCTGAGTTGAACTCTGCAAAATTGTAGCGGTCGGTACGATTGTGCACGCGCCAAGAATTTAGGATTGGCAAAACTCTTCGCCCCGCACCAAGAACAATGCAAACTTTGCTCGATGACCCCTTCCACGTTCGAACTTGGTCTGTTTGCAGGAGTGTACACTCCAAGTTCGATGAAATGAATGCACGTGGAAGGCCTGCTTAAGGCGCTTAATAAAGGGAGCATAATCGTCCGCCATTTTGGTTCTAAAAGTTTAGCGGGAAATTCAATTTACTATAAAGTTACAATGTATTTAAATGATTGATCTTTTTAAAATTACTACTAAACCGGGAGCTCTCATTACAAGGAAAAAATAAAAGTAAAGTTACAATTACTGGGTCTAACATGTAATCAATTACTTATGGTTACTACCTAGTACCTACTGATAAAAGTAATCAAATACTCCCCAGCTCTGTTTAGGAATAAATCAGTTTTATTTGTAGATATAAATTACATATTTATGACGGCTGGAACATACTGTCCCGAAACGTTTAATACCTACACAAGTCCATAAATAAATTACAGTCAATTCTCGTTCTCAATTTGAACCTTGAAAAAAAAAGCAAGAGTCGACTATATACTTATTTAAAGAATAAAAAATATTTAATTATTTACAACTATTTACAATATTTTGCTAGTGGAACTAGCAAAATGTTTTTTATATTTTCTTGCCTTTTCAAAATTGTATAACCTCTTACAGTACAATAATGCCCAATAATTTTTGTTAAAACCGAACAACATTCCAAAAACTGAATTTCTTTACATTTTTCATACACATTTTCTTGAAAGGTTACCCTAAGTTTTGTTTTCCCACTAAGAACATTTCTTCTTCTTTTATTGTATTTTTATGTACTTATACCGGACGTGTGCAAATACTAGTATATAAATCGCAAATAAAGCATTATTATTAATATAAATATTATTATTATTAAAAAATAAACTATTTTTTGAGTTCATGACTAACAGTTTTAACATAGTAGCCGACTACTGCAACTGCAAGAGACTCCATAGTTTATCCTGATTTTTTTTAAGACGTAATGCCTTATTGTATTCCTTAGCTCCTGGGTAGCTGAGATACATTGTATTTTCCCTTTCATGTAACCATTTTTTTAGTACAATTGTATACTGCACACCTTTGTTAGTTACAGGTAGTTCGTACACCAGTGCAAAACTGTTGTGCTGAAACATAAATACGGTGTATACGGTATACGGTACTACTACATTTTCATTGATTTTGATAGCAGTTACGTTAATTAATGCTAGAGATGATGTAATAGGCATAATGAAAAAAAATTTCCATCATGTGAGGGTATTCTGATGCATTTGGCGCTGATATGTTGATAAGTGAACGTTTCTTCATTGTCCAAATTGAAATTGAACTCTACTGTGTATATTTGTAACATAGGAGGGTATAGGTCACACTTTTGAATGTTTTTAATTTGGTTTCCTTTGATTAGAATGTTGAAATATGTAATATTTTGCGTGTTACTTTGCAAGGATTTATGGCTCAGTGGTAAGAGCATTGGGTTATAAATCCGAAGGTCGGGTGTTCGAACCTGGGTTGAGGTGAATTTTTCATCTGTGGCGGAGATGGAAATTACCTTAGGCCAGTTCCGAGCATTCTACCGGCTACTCCGAATTAGGTTTTCCTGCAGTTTTCCTAATTCGTAAGGTAAATACCGGAGTAGTATAGACCATCTTAAGACCTTCTGCAGAGGCACCTCTAAATAGCATTATGCGGGTCACTCTGTAATTGGGCGCATGCCTGTTGAGGGCCCAAAACAAGAGAGGGCTAATAAAATAAAATAAAAAAAAAATAAAACAAACATCCTGTATTTGTTTGACCTTCAACATTCTGTTCTATAGTTAGCAGAATAGTTAACACGTTGTTGCGTCGCGAGTTTTTATGGTTATGTCAGATTTCCTTTACAAATAAAGTTTATAATAAATGTATCAATTAATAACTACTTAACAGCGAGGTTTAATTAATAACCTCAACAGGTTATTGGCCCAGAACACGGCGAGGTAAAATAACAAAATCGGCATCCGTTTTTTCGTCTCGTTTAGGTCGTGTGCGATTCGCCATTTTGCCTTCGTTTCAGATTAATAATAAAATAATTAATAATAAAAAAGGTGAAACTGTCGGTTAGTTCTATAAAAATTGATACGTCCAGCATTCCGAAATTCGAAGGTACCAACTTTCAACTCTGGAAGTTTGGGATTACGCTGCTTACACTCATGAGCAAAACGATCGTTCAGAACGTGAGATAAGGACAATATGCGAATGTGCCAGAAGTATGATGCCCATAAATAAAAACGTTACTCAGGAACTGTGGTCAGAAGCCGTAAATTGTGCCGTTTATATCCTCTATAGAACAGCCAATAGTCAAGTAGCAGACATGACCTCCTATGAAAAGTGGTTTGGCCGCAAACCGCAATTAAAACATCTCAGAACTTTTGGAAGTACAGCGTGTATGGCCATACCAAACCAATTCCGTACTAAATTTGATCCGAAATCCTGAAAATTAATGCTAGTTGGCTATGATGGTAATTCATCAAACTACAAACTCTGGGATTCTGAAAGAAGAAGAATAGAAATTCGCTGTAATGTTAATTTTAACGAATTCGAAATACTTACAACTAAAAAGGAAACCTTTACCTTACACTTTGTAACGTGGTCAAGGACACGGAATAAAAGGGGTACAAAAACAAACCTAAACAAAAGGAATTAATAGCCCGAACCATGGCTGCGGTTGCTCACGGAGAGACTAGCTTGGTAAGAGCTGGTGAAATGTTTGTTTCCCTGTTAGGGAGCCGTGCTCAAAAATTAGAAAATAGCCCTCTGGTGGTCAAGGAAGCTATTGCTAAGGCTAAAAAGAAGGAGAAAAATAAGAAACACTAATTAAGAGGAGCATAACATAATATTTCATCTCGCATGGGAATTATAAAATTGTGAATTTTTGAAGTATAGTATACATAAAACTTTCAAACTTGAAAGCAATGAACTTCCTATATTCCTAACATCATTTGGAAGGTGAATTAAATTATGCACGTTGTGCGTTATATATTGGGGCCCATATAGTTTATCATAAACGTCCACAAAGTATCTTAGTAACTGTTCAGCATAGGATAAGTCTTGTTAGTTGGTATTTTTAGTACATAATATTCTTATTGCACATGAAAGAGATAAAAAATGAAAGTATTTATCTTCCTTTAAAAAATCTTTAAAAATAAACAGTCCTGTATATAGGAGAAGTTGCCGAAACTCAGTTGCTTTCCAATAATCCACTTCTAATAATGATCTAGGCTTTCTTGCAAACTCAAAAAGTATCAAATTTTTTAAATTTAGAAACTCCGCATTGATTTTTTCTAAAATTCCCGATGGAAGTAATCGTTTAGTTACACCCAAAGAAACCAAGTGCATGCAGTCTAAAGGTAATTGACTGACCATTCCAATTTCAACACTTTTGTAATAGGTACCTATCGAGTGACCATAGTATACCTTTGTGAAAACCAATGTGACAATAACTCCCTCCCCCTGATAAATTTTTCATTGGAACATACTGAGGCATTTCCAAAAAAGGTTTTTGCATCCAACGGAATGTAATTTATACCTTCAGCCTTCAAAATACACAAAAGTTTTGACAATGCACTATGCGTAATATTATTTTCAATTGCCCAACATCGGAGTTGAGAAAAATTTGCCTTATGAACATTGATAGAAAAATCTATGGTAGATGTAGAATTGTTAGATGGGCCATCAACTTCCCAATTGAATTGTTTATTATGTCATCATCATCATCATCTGTTAAATTATTAAGAGATGTTATTTGCAGAACTTTTTGCAACATCACATTGTTTTTGAGGTACAGTATCTAATGAAACGGATGGTTTCATAATTTCTCCCAAGCGCTTTTCAAGACTTGATAGTTGT